TTAGTTTATGGAAGCTTGTATTCTTATAATATTTCCTTCCTGCTGCTGTTCCATCCAGTTAAACTGAAGTGAGGTGCAGCCACTAAAAATTAGTGTTGATCTCTTTCCTTTATTAGTTTGTGCATTGCTTGAAATAATTGTGGTCTCTAAGGCCTACTACAATATAAGTAGCTAAAAACTTACCCTACTTCTGATATGCTGTTAGTAACCACTGTTTGAGTAAGTAATTATAATACTAACTAAAAAAAGCAAATCTCTTAATGAGGGGGATCCAGGTGGAGAGAGTACTGAAAATCCTTGGTGGTTTAGGAATATTTCCACGTGTTCTGCATAGCTGCATTGTAAATTAATGACATATAAACTGGTGGTTTGTACCTGAATTTATGCAGACAATGGCTAAGCTTAATTTGTGTGAATTTTTGTGCTGTTAATGTGTCATAGCATGCATGTCTGGCAACTGATGATAGAGTGTAAAGGGCAAAATTATGTGGTGATGGATCTACAGTGTGTAATATGAATAGCTGCCATTGATCCTGTTGTCAAAGCTAGCAAGATGTATATCAATAATTGTGAAGCAATTGTAAGGACTTTGGTGTTACTAGTGCATTTTGATTTGTTTGACTTTAATATGCTTTTATGTTATGACTCTCTTAATATCTTAAAAATATTGACTTGAAGGTAGAAAATAAAGGATTATGAATGATAACATGTAAAGATTAAATAGTTGTGACCTAAGGATGACTCTAGTATGTTAACAAGTACAGTATGGTCTCTAATAAGAGGGGTTAAAATCAAACACCTCAAATATAACTTAAACTATGTACACTAATATTTTGAAATTTAAATGTTAAAGTTAAATTTGCCCAGCTAACACAAGATTCTGACATACATTGGTGCAAACACTTGTAGTTCTGAACCTTTTTCATCCCAGGCCATGTCTAGATTGGCATTGGAATTGGCACCCTCCACAAGACCTTTCTAGTGTTTCAGAGCTCTGCTGTGAGTGAGGTAGTATGGACTTCAATACACCCTAAACTGGCTACATTAAGTGGTTGCTCAGCCTACACCCAGATGGATCTGGTTTTGGCTTCATCACTGAGTGTTCCAGAAGTGCGGATGGCCTGAGGAGCCAGTCAGTATTCACTTCTGGTTTGACAGCTATAGTTAAGTTTTAACTAGACTTTCTTCAGCACAGCAAGATGACTTAATGTGTGTATTGGCAAGCTGGTTTTGTATATTTGTCTGCTTTTGATCTCTTCCCATCTTAGGAATTTAAAGGTCTCATGCTTGTCAATCTGGAGGTATGAACAGTTTTCCATAATAAAGAAGGAATTATAGTTAATAAACTACAGTTGACAAACCAAACTTTTAATCCACCTAATTTTGGAAAAATATCTGTTCCTGTGATTGTAAATTTTGTTGGTCTCTGTAGAAAGTGTAGTGTGACCAGACCAGTTTATAGGTGAAGCTCCTGTCACTGACTTAATGCTCCATTAGTGTCAAAGATTGCCTAGGGTATTTGAGACTGAAAATCACTTCTTATTAACACCTGGGTTTAGTTTCATAAGTCTTGATCTAACAGATAATATTGGGTGCCACTTTGTGTGCAGTGTCTTCTTTTTTTGTAAGTGATAGTAAAATAGTTGGCTGCTATTCAGAAATGTATTGGAAAAAGAACATTTAGCAAGTTAAGCTCACTGTATGTTAATGAGCAATCTAATGTTTTGTGGGTTGTGTTTTTTTTAATGTTTGGAACTTGCACTTAAAAAATTGTTTGAGGGGACAAAGTGTGATCACAGCTCCTGTTCTACTATAATTGTAAAAAACTGTTAACCTTTAGTCATAATCTTTTGAAAATAGCTTTTTGCACACCTTTGGTATGAATTTGATTAGTATGGTAGCTAAATTTGTATTATCTAGTGTGCTTGGATTGAGACTTGGTTTGTCTTGAATAACTACTGTTCCTCCTTACTACTGTCTTTCTGGTTACTGGAATTGAGAGCGATAAGCAAGTCTTGAAATGTACTGTCAATTCTTCCTCTGATGGTCCACAATCAAGTTTGAGGAAGAAGCAGCAGATTAATTTACATGTAAAGTTTCAGGAAGTGAAAGATTAGAAGAGAAAGTGAGGAGGGGATGGTTGGAATACTAGCAGGGGAACAGAGGCAAAATGTTCTGTGCCCATTAGATCACTTTCATCAAAATAGACCTTGAGTTTCTACATCCTTCTGCTGTATACTAAAACTCACAAAACTCCTGGATATGCTTGTTCCCATCCTAGCGGTTTATCTACAGAAGATAAGAGCAAGCTGCTACTTGATAATCTAACTCAAACAATAGGATAGAGGTTTGCATTGTGGATCTAAAGCATCTGGTTCTGCTAATGACAAGTAGGTACTGAATTTAGAGGACAGTCATCATGGTTTCTCCAGATATTTCTGAATTTTGCTTTTTTTCTTCAAACTTTGACTTCATATCCCCTTACCAAGTTTCTTATTAAAAAGGAAGTAAGAATGCAGTGAAGTCAAAAGCTAGAAGATACCAAGTTTATTTACATAAACTTAATTCAGATTCTTATAATTGGAATGAGAATGAGAAACAAAATTTCTATTTCTGAAATGTATTTAACAAATACGAGTCTCTTTTTTTTTTTTCCTCCTTCTTGTAGATAGATATATACATGTACCAACTTGTCGTGGTTTAGCCCCAGCCAGCAACTAAGCACCACACAGCCACTCGCTCACCTCCCCCCCGCCCACAGTGGGATGGGGGAGAGAATCGGGGGAAAAAAACCTCACAGGTTGAGATAAAAACAGTTTAATAGGACAGCAAAAGAAGAGGAAACAGCAATGATAACAACAACAACAACAATAATAATATTACTGATAAAGGAATATACAAAAACAAGTGATGCACAGTGCAGCAATTGCTCACCACCTGGTGATCGATAGCCTGTCCCCGAGCAGCGATTCCTGCCTCCCTGGCCAACTCCAGTTTATATACTGGGCATGACGTTATATGGTAGGGAATATCTCTTTGGCCAGTCTGGGTCAGCTGTCCTGGCTGTGCCCCCTCCCAGCTTCTTGTGCACCTCCCTGCTGGCAGAGCATGGGAAGCTGAAATGTCCTTGACTGAGTATAAGCACTACAACTACTTAGCAACAACCAAAAACATCAGTGTGTTATCAACATTATTCATATATCAAATCCAAAACACAGCACTATGCCAGCCATCAGGAAGAAAAAACAACTCTATCCCAGCCAAAACCAGGACACAACTTCAAATATTTTTGCAATTGAATTGAACCTGTTTAAGAGAGCGTGAACAATACGTTCTGGGCAGAAAGAATTTGTTAATGGAAAGCCTTTACCTCCATCTTATTTTCAGTTTATTTCAATGCAGCGTTCAGATTCTAAGACAAATCTCAGGCATGCTTTAGGGACTGATTTGAGTTTTACTGGCTAAACTTTCTTTATATTAGAGTGAACTGCACATTCTAGAGATCAGAGCCGGGGGGGGGGGGGTACATTAAGAAAATGTACAAAGGTAAATCTAAGCTGTTGAGATCAGGAGGCTGTATACCTACAAAAATGCACTTTTCCCAAACATCAGCTGAAGATTTCAAGACTACTGCTTTGTATTTGTTTACCTACCTACTTCAGTTCTGTTATAGATGTAGAAATTCAACACCAAAGCCCATTGCAAATCAGTGTCTTGTTGGCATAGAAAAAAGCCTGCCAAAATGCAAATGAGGAAGTTTTAGGAAACTTTCTCTCTGAACTTTTTGAATCAGATGACTATAAATGTACAGAATCCTTGGAAAAGGAGGTCTCACTTGAGAATGTGGAAACTTGCTGATGTTGTAACAGATACAGATGATCTGATGGCCAGTAAACCAGAATTTGCCAGGCTAGTGGTATAAGACATTTTAATTGGGGGGGGGATTCTTACATGGGTGTGCTGTTAATTATTTTCATGTTAATGTAGTGGGAGGCTGAAAAGTTGGTATGCCTGAATCTGTAGTATATATGAAAAAGAAGCTAGATTTAAATTGTGTAGTCTTAAAAGCAATCAACCACACAAGAGGCTTTATTATGTTGGGAGGGGGAGTTATTGGTTGTCCATCTTCCTGTCTCCCCCAGTGAAATACTCATATATGATCTCAAGCAAAACTTTCTTCTACTTGAAGCATAGTAGTTAAATATTTAACTGTGGTGTCTTTTTAATTTGCTGCAAATATGTATTTCAGTCAAGTGGCACTAGTGCTTGCTGGAAATTTCACCACATAGTGTGAGTGCCACCTGAGTGCCTTTAGCATGACATTGCACATTCTCTTAATGAGAAATAATAATGTAAATGATAAGACTTATAAGACAAATGGCTGCATGTTGTGTATTGAAGGCATTGTTTGGTGGTTTGTTGGGGTGGTTTTTGGCTTTTGGGAATCCTGAGCAGAGGGGTTAATGTGGGACTTCAGGATCAAGACCTAATAAAGTACTAAGAATAGTTTGTCTGTGTGTATACATAGGCTTGACAAAATAAGCAAGTCCCTCAGAATATTCTGGCAATCTCTGAGGCCCCAGCTGAGATGAAGGGCCTGTTGTGGTGAGCTGTATTTGCCTTTGTGTACAATTATTACCTTGGAACGCTTTAATCAAAGGCTTTGGATGAAAGAGAGGAAGAGGTACAGTGTAGAGGTGAACAAGGCTGATGTTGAGTTAGCACAGTTTTAATTTTTATACAGATTTTTTTTTTATCGTGGATGGAGATAGAGAGGAAGGAAGGAAAATATAACTTAAGATGGCAAGCTTAGGTTTCTGTTTTATACTTGAAAGCAGATACAAAATTGCTCACGTAGCAGAGAATTCTGGTTTGAGTTTTGAATAATGAGACATAAGTATCCTTAAAATCTGTTTAATTCTTTTGGGTAATGTCCTGGTTTGGGGATCTGTGTTAGGCGAGCGGCTGTGTAGTGCTTACTTGCTGGCTGGGGCTAAACCATGACAGGTAACGATGTCAAGTATTTTGATTTGTATAATTGCCAGGTAACCTTGATGTTTTAATCAGGTCTTGAATATTTTAACTTGTCATTTAAGCCTTTCATAGTCTGTAGATGCCAAAACAGATTTTATTTTTCTTTTTTTAGCTATTAGCATGGTGATATTTGGACTATAATTTGATTATGATTTATGCAGTTGTTTTTCTTCTTTTGCTAGGAAACACTGCATTACATGACTGTGCAGAATCTGGAAGTTTAGAGATCTTGAAGATGCTTCTCAAGTATTGTGCTAAGATGGAAAAGGATGGCTATGGAATGACTCCCCTTCTGTCAGCCAGTGTGACAGGCCACACAAATATCGTGGACTTTCTGACCCAACATGAACAGACCAGTAAGATAGAATGTATAAATGCTCTGGAACTTCTAGGAGCAACATTCGTGGACAAAAAGAGAGATCTGCTTGGCGCTTTGAAATACTGGAAGCGAGCTATGGAAATGAGATACAGTGATAGGACTAGTATCCTGAACAAACCTGTGCCACAAACACTAATTATGGCCTATGATTATGCTAAAGAGGTAAACAGCTCAGAAGAGCTAGAAAATCTTATTGCAGACCCTGATGAGATGAGAATGCAAGCACTATTAATTAGAGAACGTGTTCTTGGTCCTTCTCACCCAGATACATCCTACTATATTAGATATAGAGGTGCTGTCTATGCAGACTCTGGAAACTTTAAGCGATGCATCAACTTATGGAAATATGCTTTGGACATGCAGCAGAGCAATCTAGATCCACTGAGCCCTATGACAGCCAGCAGTTTACTATCATTTGCTGAACTCTTTTCCTTCATGCTACAGGATAGGGCAAAAGGCCTGCTAGGCACTACTGTGACATTTGATGATGTCATGAGTATACTGTGCAAAAGTGTTCTCGAAATAGAGCGGGCCATGAAACAAATCCAGTGCCCTTCTGATCCAATACAGCTGAACAAAGCCCTTTCTATCATTTTGCATTTAATTTGCTTGTTGGAAAAAGTACCTTGCAGCTCAGAACAGGACCATTTTAAGAAACAGACTATTTACAAGTTTCTTAAGCTTCAGCCTAGAGGGAAGAATAACTTCAGTCCACTTCACCTTGCTGTTGACAAGAATACTACATGTGTGGGTCGCTACCCAGTTTGTAAATTTCCCTCTCTACAAGTTACTGCTATCCTGGTAGAATGTGGTGCTAATATAAATGTTAGAGACTCTGATAACAACAGTCCTTTACATATTGCTGCACTGAACAACCATCCAGGCATAATGAATTTTCTTATTAAGTCAGGTTCACACTTTGATGCCACAAACTCACATAAACAAACTGCTAGTGATTTGCTGGATGAGAAGAAAATAGCAAAAAACTTAATCCAGCCTATAAATCATACTACGTTGCAGTGTCTTGCTGCTCGTGTTATAGTGAATCATAGCATATGCTATGCAGGGCACATCCCTGAAAAACTAGAGAAATTTGTTTTGCTCCATAGATAATAGTGTACAGCCCAAGAGTGCTGTTGTTGAAGCATGACTTGGTGACAATGTTTTTCCTGAGCACTGTTGTGATATACCAGTATTCCCTTAGTTTGCTCCATCTCGCTGTCATTTGCTAAAGCATTGTTAGCGTTGCATCTGCAGAGTTGGTTAACTGATATTTGAATATACCATATATTATATTTTGTGGATTATTTGGAAATGTAGTGCCATATTTAGACTCTTAAAATTGTTTGCCAAAGGCTTGTCTATTCCAGTCTTATTTGTCTGTTGGGTGTTTAGGACTGAGTTGAATATTTTCCACTGATGTCTTTTTACTACAACTGTTGTGTGTATTTTATACAGTTGGAGGGTCATCTTTTTTGGTTTTGCTCGAGCATTTCTACTCTTACTCTATTCTTTTTCTATGGACTTGTTAAACTGTGCAAGTTGTAAACATTGTTGTTAACATTTGCAACTACCATAAGTGCTTTTTATCTTCTCTATGCACTAACTTAAATGTGACTGTTGTGTGTGAACATATTTCTATGCAGCAGTTGGCCAATTTCAACTTAAATGCCCATTTTGATTTGCAGTTTTGTTTGGAGCTCTTTTTGAGAATGCTGCCTTCATAGCATGACAAAGTTTGGATCTACATATCTCCTTTCTGAACTGGGGTTTAATTTTTTTATTCTAGCTGTAACTGAGGTGGCTTTCCTCTTGATCCTCTGGAAATCTGTGCTAAATTTGGGAGAAGAAAATCTCTCTTGTTCTCATGGTAATCCACTTGGACTTTTAATCCAATAATCATTCTCTCACATCATACAGTTAGGGGAAGAGTCATCATCATGTACAACTGACAGCTTCCCTTTTGCACTAATGTCTTGCTTGTGTTGGTTATGTGACTAGATGTAAAGTTTGTTCAAAGTTGAACCTCAAACTTAATGAAACACTCTAATGAGAAATAGATTAAATGTATGCCATGGTTTAAATTTACAAATCAACTTCTTCAGCTACAAAAGAAACTAAAGCATGTTGGTGATGTGATGCTTATCAGTCCAGAAATATAAGCGTCATCAGTATCATTATAACATGGTAAATGGCTGTATGCCAGAGTAATAGAAATTCTATAGCAGTGTCTCCTCTTCTTAATTTTAAATATCTTTATAAATGCATGGCTTTTCCGTCTCTATTATCTGTCAGCTGTACTTAAAGAAAAAGCAGAAGTTCTGTTGTGTATCTATAGCTCCTAATTAAACTTCCTATTTTGATAATATTTGCATAATAGCTTAACTTTTACAACAGAAAGGGCTCTTTTGACTTGATAAGTAGTCTATAAAAGAATTTCATAAAGGAGAGTGAGATTCAGGCATTTAATATAATTCGGCACTTTACTGTTGATTAATAGTAGAATTTATTATGGCACATTAGCCCTGGAAATACCCGAGTGAAATTAATTTGTGTCACATAAAATACAGTTTATCTGCAAATTTAGTATTCTAGCATATTGGATATTGTTGACTTGATGTTTCATTTCAGTGATGGGCAGTAAATGGGTTTCTTGCTCCAGAAACTCAAACAAGCTGATTTAGGCTTTTGCTGGCGATAGAGATATTTAAAAGCCAAATTGAGTAGATAAAGGAAAAAAATGTTGGAGTATTTTTCTTTTGAGAATTAAGATGATGAAGAATGTCTTGAGAGTATAAAAGTATATCTTTTTAAAAAAGTTCATCCTTGCTTCTTGGCTGTTCCAGGTTTTCTCTTAGTATACAGTGTGGAGCCAACAAGCTTAGCCATTCTTGGGGAAAATATTGGGATACTTTTAAACAAAGATATGTTGAATAGTAGTGCTGTTTGTTGCCACTTTCAAACTCTTATTTTGAAACAACTTTCACCTGTTTGTCCCATGGCATACCTATATTTTATGAAATTTGGAGTATAAGGAAATCCTATATGTTTCTCTTGCAAATGTGCAGCAGTAAATGTCTATTAAATTGGCTGATTTTTTTTTTCTAACTTGTAATGATTAAACTACATGCTACACAAGCTGTCAGTTGTGAGAACAAGTAGTTTGATTTTGTATGTCTTATTTTTGATATGCTTCTCTACTACTCTGTAAGTTGATGTAATCAACAAATCATACCACGCTAGAAACGATCCACATTATACTTCAGGCCATAAAAAGCATTATACTTCAAGTAATAAAAAATAGTCTTCTTTCTATAGGTCACAGAGAAAGGGATTTTTAGATCACTGTTTTACACTCTGGAATCTGTACTGCTCTTTAGTGTTTATGATTTGCATTTGTCTTTATAACTTTATAATATCCTGTTTAAAATTAGTTAGAGATTATTAGACCAGAAATAGAAAAAAAAAATGGTAGTATGTGCTATTGTTAGCAAAGTTTTGAATGGAAAACACCCCAGAAGAGAAAACATATCACTATGTAATATGTGTAAATCTACTCAAAATTGCCGGGCCTTACAGGGCTTATTGTTAGCTACTTGGGTTTTAGAGTTTTAGGTATGTTTTTAACTTATGAAGTACTGATTTATTGTATGTAATTCTCTCTAAATATCTATCAATACACATCAATCCTAAAGATTATTGCCTATATTCAGAATTTAATTTCCACAGAATCACAGATCATTAAGGTTGGAAAA